TCAACAAGTCAAAGAATTTCTGCACCCCTTCTTCAACCGCTTCATCCTCTTCAATTCGTAACGTCGCCATTTGCCGTTCCAACACCACAGCTACCGCCGCTGTTGCAGGAGCGTGTACACCCTTGAGAGCAGCCCATGCTTTTGGTCCCTTCTCTGGTTCACGCTGGAAAGGCTTGATGTGACGGATTTGGCTGCTCCCCAACGCTTGCCCAAGTAGGAGGTAGCCTTGTGCGCTCTTCCGCACCCACGGGCTCTTCTCCGGGTCGTTCTCGGGACGCTTCTCCGTTCCTTCCATCACCTCCAGCAGGTCATAGTGGTCAAATATGTTCTCCATTCTGAAGGACCACTCAGCAAAGTTGTCACCATTGAACTTGTCAAGGCCAAACACTCTAGGCTCATCCCTAGATGGGCCAACACTTGGTTGCACGGGCGCCATGGCTGAGTCACGGGGTTGGCCTTGAGCTTGGGCTTCTCCTCTGCCACCAGCACCTCTGCCACCCCTTTCCTCAGGTCCAGCCATTGTCGAAACTGCTCCAAGGGGCTCTGATACCACTTGTTATAGTCACAGTAGGCTCCAATGTGCCTAAAACGAAAGATAGAGTGCACAGTCGGATTTCTGCACAGCGGCTTCAAACGTTCATAGCGTTCTGGTCACAGCTTCAAATGACTTGATTCAACTTGGATCTGGAGCGTCTTATTGTCGCCTACACTAGGCAATTTAGATCGCACGATTTGACCAAGTATTGACGACACAGCGTCGGTTTGAACGAACGGCACTATGGCATCCACTATAGTCTTAGAACACAAGATAGGAAGAGTTAGGGAGAGTTACGAGTTGGGAATGACTCCCAGCTCCTACAAACCCCAAGAGCCGAGGTACAGTGATGTGGAACAGTGCCACACTGTCCCCAACCATGAAGGGTCTCGAAACTACCATTCACTAGGGCCTACACCAAGTGAAATGTTACACTACACAAAGTAATGTAACTATCTTCAATATCTTGGGGTGTACCCTTTTTTCGCGAGCTTCGCGATTACTTGAATGTTGACACCAGGGCTTGGGTTCTTCATCACAAACTCATCCTTGAGTTCTTGATGGGTCTGCTGCACACACCTGCGACACGCCGAACGTTCGACAAGCGACAAAATAGAAACCGCGCACGACAAAATAGCAACCACGCGGGACACACAAAACGACCACGTTACACGCGACTAGCGATAATTCGCTATTGACTTGACACACACACTTGACATCATGACCCATCATTCACACACTATTATAAGCATGAAATATATATTTATTTCATGCACTCATTCCATTCCATGCACACACGCATGCACGCACACGGACAACAAGCCGAGTGCAAACCGTAGGGTTGCACCAACACATGGCAGGGCCCCTCAGCAGCGAGACAACATATCGGATCTTCGTTGCGTCCGACTCGACGTATTTCGCGTAAAAAAAACGTTCATCGTGAAGACCCACGACTAAACCGTCGGACCTCCACGCTGGCTCGGGTCGAAATAGGGCGGGCGCTGCGGCTTGAGTGGCATTGGTGCCATGATGGCGTGGCCGCCATTTGTCGCTGCAAACTCCACATGCCGACGGGCTTCATGAGGCTCCCGCGGGCTTGGCGCGGCCCTGTTCCTCTCCATGCCAGGCATCGATTGAGCGGCACCATCACTGGCTGCGCGTGAGCGCTGTCCTACGCTTTCGTTTTGTGTCGATGTGCCTGATGAGATGACGATCGGCTCCTCTGACTGTGCAGGTGCATTTGCAAGTGTGTGTGGTGGTGCTGAAGCGTTCACCGTGGATTGCTGACGAGCGGAATCGCGTTCCGCCGTGAGGGTCGCAATTTCAAGCGCCGAATCAACGACTTGGCGCACGAGACGGTCGAGTTCCTCCTACGGCCATGTCGGGGGTGTTGGGCAAGCTCAGCGAGAGCCTCTGTCGTGGCCGTGCGTGCTTACGAGAGAGCACTACGAGCGGCGGTGCTTGTGTTGTTGAGAGACGTCTACCCCCCCAAAAAAATGAGATAGTGGGGAAGCGAAGGCGTGGGTGAGGTCCGAGAAGAGATCGTAGGCTCTGAATACCAAGTGTTACGAGTGCAATTGTGTGAGCGAACAAGAATTGCACTATCGAAGCAAGTGTACAATGAGCGAAGGCATGAGCGAAGAATATATAGTGAAACTACAGTTGTAACGGTAATGCGTGGAAATTGGGGTGCGCGACGGGCCTAGCGCCGAGGTCGGGAAATGTCGAGGCGGAGGTCCGGAGCGCGGGTTACCAACCGAACCGTGAGGTTGGGTCACGCCGTGAACAGTGGCGGGAACAGTGTCGAGGCGAGTGTCGCGAGTGGTCACGGATTACTGTTGGGTGCTGTTGGCGGGAACAGTGGTGTACGCGCTGAGCAGGGACGCGAACTAAGGAAAAGGAATTTTGCTTTTTGTAGGCTAGGTTGTGTTTGTGCTGCACATGTTAGGGCTTAGGAGCCATGGGCTTAGTAGCTTAGTGTCGAGAGAATTGGGTAAGGAGAGTGAATGACTTCACTATAGGTTTGCAAGAACATATAGCAAATGAACAAAGAAGGTGCACCACCTAACAAAGTTTATAATAACTACACTAACTACAGCTACAGGCAGTTACAGATAGATTCTAACATTGTGTGCCCCCCCATTAGTCATTCTACCTCGTTTCAACATGGTATCACTGGTAGGCTAGCAGGGCTCTCCCGCGTGATGCATCAAACGGACCCTTCGGGCATGAATAGTGGAGGGCGTGATGGTGAACTTAGAGTTTCAAGACGAATCTTCACCATTCACGCCCTTCCACTGTTCACACACCTTCCGCCGCTCGTGAGACTGCATGACATTCTGGTGGAAACTGCTGATAGTTTTCATCGAGTGGGTCGATTTGATGGTATTTGGTTAAAGTTATATATTGGTCGTAACCAATTAGGGGTATCCATTCCTAGATGAGCACGTGCGAACCCCCCTTCGTGGGGGTTGGCAGAATACGCCTGCACAGGGGTGGGTTCGATCCCAGGACCTCATTTATCGAAAGTGCCTTTCTACTGACTAGGCCACTTCTGGATAATTTGAGGGTATTTGGGCTCCGATCATAGCACTGGTGTGGTTTTCCGAACCCAGCTTCTGGTCAGCGATCAAGTGTGTGCCAAGTATGCATAATTTAGACCAAAAGCTTCTCATTGTGCAACTTCTGGCATCCCATAATTTCCAGAAGAGTGACCCGAGCCCATCGATCTTGGACTGCTGGGGCCACGTTCTTGGATAGCCCTGAAGCTCCCAGGTGTTTCACAACAACAACTCAAGACGCGGTAAAAGTGGGAGGATTGCAGGATCGCGATTGTTTTTTGAGCCCCAGAATTGATTGGGCGGTTCGATTGGCGAAACAAGGGGCCCGCTTGGTTGTAACGATCGCCAGAGAATGATGGTTTGGCTCTTCCACATTCGATACTTTGGTTTTGCCTGCAACACCTGCGACATAACGCAACCCACAGGGCAACCAAAAGCGACATTCGCAACCCGCAGGCCCACATTGCGGGAATGATGCACGACTCGATTCACCCGCTTTGCGAAATAACAACAGTTCGCTGGCATCAACATCAATCGTACATGTTGCGATTGGTTCGTTAACATCATCTGCAGAGTCATGCCTCGGAAAGCTGAACACCAATCAGTGATCAGTCGCATTCACCACCTGTGCACAATATGTCGACAAATTCAAACTGCAGTATGGTTACTAGTCCGTAAAAAGGGTAACTGATCCGCACACCGGTCGCAGTTCACGGTCGACCGTCTAATTTTACCGCGTCCTCGGTTTTTTTCTCTTGCTGAGAAATTTATCGCATGCGATGTTGGTGGTGAAGGTTGGGTTCCCCCGCACCAACATACACAGGTGAAAAAAATGTCGACTTCAGATCCAGATCTGTTTTCTCCTCCGAGCCTATCTGGCTGGGGAATTGTTACGTTAGTTCACCGTGTTACTAAGGTTTGTGCTTGTCAAACCTACGCTGGCTCCAGCAGGTTCCGCGCCCTCGACAAAGCTCAAATCTCAGGTGAGTTTCGTTTCCCCTCATTTCACGTTTCCGTGCCAATCTTGTATCTGTTTGTTCTTCTCCCCCATTTTTCACTCTGCTTCAGAACTTCAGCGGCCCTGCCTGGCTCAACCCTGCCCTCGACCGGAGTCGTTTTTCTGCCCCACTGCACGCTGCCTCCGACCCAAGCTTCATTCCGATTGGCTACCCGTTCAGCTCCCCACCTCTCTGGCGCACCTCCTCGCTGGCGTTTCCGCTACCCACCCGGTCGCCCAGCCAACCGTTCCTGCCCTAACCGTTTTTCTCCCAACCGTATTTCTCCCAACGATTCGGATTCCGATTGCTGCCATCTTCTCTCCTCATCATGCCTACTTCCCCTCAAACATCGTAACTTTCTGTCTTCTTGCCTCGCTTCCCCCCGCCATCATTCCTTCTTCCACTTTCCAAGACACCCGGCCAACAAGTCCAAGCACCTGTTTCGACATACACCAAAAGCTTCAAAGTCTCCCGCAGCTTGTCTACTCTTTCCCAATCAGCACTTACTATCGTCCCCATTTTCGACCACACATCCTCGTGTGATTTTCCCATCCTTAACCCCCTTGCTATCGTCGCCCACCCTCTCCCCCCACTTTTTCCCTCCATCCCTCCCTTGCCCCGCCCACAGTTCGGTCGTTCCCTATTGTGAGTACTTCCTGACACCCCCTCTGCTCTCCGCCCTTCCTTCTAACCCACCTTTTCCCCACCCGCACCCACTCCGTGCAGCTCACTACTCTCATCTTCGTCCTCAAGGCGCATTCCTGCCTATTCTACCCCATTTCCCCACCTTCCTCCTTATCTCGGCTCCTGCTACCCCTTGGTTACCTAACACTGGATGCCGCTTAGGCACCGAGTCACTTATTTGGGAACACTGTGGCCGCTGCCTATGTTCCCTCGCCATCTCGGATGGCGTGCACCCTTTCGAATTCCGCCTCCCTGTCATACCCGTTTCTGGGTGCGACCTTTCACCTCCCACACGCCATGGCCGCTTCCGTGCATGGTGATCCGTCGTTCACTCTCGCTGCCTCCGACCCGCCCCCACCCCTGCCCGGCCTTCCCTTGCGCCATGTGTCATATTTATACCCCCTCACGCCCCCCCTCGTTTCTCGCCTTTCCTTCGTCTTCTCTCACTCCCCACCAGTCACCATGGCAACGCCTCACAACCCTGACGACGACATGACTCTCGTGGATGAGGACCTCCACCTCGACGGTGAGGATCTCCACCTCGAAGAGCTCCCCAATGTTAACCTCCCCGAGCTCCCCACAAGCGACGACGCCCCGGCTGCCGAAAAGGCCTGCTTCGAAGGCCCTTCTTCCGCGCCTGGCTCCTCGGCGTCATCCTCTGGCATCCCCACGCCCACGGCATCTGACTATGTTGCCCCCCACCCGGGCCCCTCTGCTGCCCCCACCCCTCTCCCCGCCAGCGCCCCTGCTGCCCCGACGGCTGGCGTCCCTCTGGGGGCTGTCAACCTTCATACGGCCCCGCCCCCCGACGCGGCGCCCCTCCGCAACCTCCACCGCCCGAGGCCCGGGGCCTCTGGCCTTATGATGTCGCGTCGCCGCCTCACGGTGGTCACCCTTCTGATGCCCGAAGCGGGGGCGGAAACTATCCGCGCGGACCTCATCGCGCGCATCTCTGCTATGCTGAAGCCGCACTTCTTCCGTTGCGGCTCCGTTTCGGAGTTCGAAGCTGCCACCGGCGACCTCCTCCGCGTCCCGCGCCGCTCGTACGCGCGACTCTCCTTCACCTGGCCTTTGGAGGAAAACGCCGAGGATTTCAAACGCCTTTTTCCCCGCTCTATCTCCCTGAACTCCTCACGCTCTGTGCTTTTGAAGGTCTTCGAGGATCGCTTCCTGGACTTCACGGCAGCCAAGGCTGCAGGAGCTGCTACTCTCTCACTCGGGAATGTCCCCCCGAGATACACCCCTGACGACATTCGCGACTTTCTGCTTCACCAGGATGACCCGGCAGATCCTGCATGGCTTGCCGAGCTACGTTTCTTCCACCGCACCATGGACCCTTACGAGGAGGTCTACCTCTCGATATTTTCTGGGATCCCCCTTCCCCCCCCGGATGACCCCTCCTTCTCCCGCATTCCTGCTGTCATCCCCTTCGAGGATGACTCCGATCCCGCTCTGCTCAACATCTCCTCTCACAAGTGCGGACTGTGTGGGCATAACCATCGCGATGGTGACCACGAGATCTTTCCCATCAAGTTCAAGCAACGCCTGAACAACAAGGTTCAAATTTCTGTTGCACAACTGCAACAGACGAACGGTACGATCTGCCCCTCCCCCACCCGCCCTTCCTTCGTCCCCTTTGCCCCTGCCCACCCTCTACTGGCTCGCTTGCTGCTGCCCACAGTGAATCCCTCTTCCTATGACCCCACCTTCCTGCCCCAAACTCTCACCCCAGCCCCCCTCTGTCTCCTGTCTACACGGCCCCTCCTTTGTCTCGGATGGCTGTCCCCCTTTACTGCTGCCTCCCCCCTTTTCCGCTTCGTCGCATTTTCGTGCACCTTTCCTCGCGACCCTTCCCCCCGCCCCCCCCATACCCTCCCTCCCACCTCTCCTTCTCTCGTGAAGACTTGGCACTTGCTTCTCGCACACCTGCTCCTCACTGCAGCACATCCACCTCCCCTCTCTCCTATACCACGCCCCTCTGTCCACTCTCTCCCTCCCCCCCCTCCCCCCCGGGACTACCCGCACTTTGCTTTCTGTCCTCCCCCCCTCGCTGCTTCACCCTTCCCCCTCCTCAGGCCAAATCCTCGGGGCACGCCCTGCCCCCACTGCCTTCCGCAAGGACCCGGGCCTTCTCTTCATTGGGCTCGACGAATACGTCGAGCCGTGGACTTGCGCCCTCTGCAACTTCGTCTGCGATCCCGCGCCCACTTGGCTTCCGAGCCTCATGCTACCAACCTTCGTGCTGCTGCGAAGGGTCCGGCTGTGAAGGAAAAATACAGCAACTGGAGGGCTCTTACCTTCACCGCACTCCCCCTGATTGCTACCTTTCTTGCGCAGCAGAACTGAGCAGCCTTAGGCCCTCCGCGGCTTACGTCTCGCTTTCTAGGAACCCCTGCTGTGCTGCTATGATGGATATGAAACTCCGTTTGCATGTGTGTCTGAAACTCCGCTTGGATATATGTCTGAAACCCCGCTGGGGCACATGCATGGAAACCCGTTTCTTTGTGAACTCAAAACGCTGTTTGCTTAAACGACTAGCAAAAATCCAACAACACCATGTTACTCCTGCCATTACTCATATGCCCAGTGGATTCGTGCACTTTTATGCACGATGGGCCCTTGACCTATTGCCATGTTAATACGCCTCAATATTCTCTGTCTTAACATCAATGGCATTAATGCACCTCATAAAATCAACGCGTTGAAACGTTGGATCTCCTTGCACCGCGATAAACCCGACGTCCTCGTGCTAGTCGACACACGACTTATTCTTAACATCCCAAAATTGGCCCGTCGACTCTGGCCACACTCAACGGCTCATGCAATCGCCACATACCCCCCAGGCACTACCTCGAGATCTCGTCCCCTTCGAGGTGGTATCTCTCTTCTCTCCTTTCACAAAGCAATCACCATCTCCTCGGCTGTCCCATCACCAGACGGACGACTTCTCACCGTTGATCTCAATTTCTTGCATGACCAACTCCGACTGATTGCAATTTATGCCCCCCCCCACGCTACCGAGCGGCGGGTTTGGTGGCGAACCACTCTCACCCCTGCCCTTGATGCCCCCTCTGCGACTATTGCCACTATCCTTGCTGGCGACTTCAACTCTGTTGTCCTCCCTGAAGACCGCAACCGCGCACTACACGGACACGAACGAAGCGAAGCATCCTCGTTTGAGGCCCTCCTCAACTCGCACTCGCTATCGGACTCCTTTCGGTCCCTCCATCCTACCACTACTATCTTCTTGTACATCGGCCGCTCGCGCCTTAATATATCTCCTCCCCCGCCTCCCCTCGCAGCCCGACTGGACCGAATATATATTTCCAGCCCCTTCCTTCCACGCCTCAAGGCTTCTCTATGCCTCCTTACCCCCACTCTCTGATCACTCGTTCGCCCCTCTATGCTCACTCGCCTTCACCAATCCTGCGATGGCCCCTTGCCCTTGGAGGCTTAGCCCTTCTATCCTACAACGGCCCTACATAGCCCACATCCTGGACACTCACCTGTCTCTTCTACCCCCTCACCCGTCCCCGCAAGAGTGGGACCGGTGGAAGAAACACCTGACCCTCCGCCTTTGCAATGACGCAGCTCGCCTTTGCAAAGCACGCCAACAACTAGCAAAATATGAAGCCTCCAAAACCGCTGAACTCGCACTCAAAGCCAAGCTCAAAGTCGAAGGGCATAGAGAAATGGGCATCTCCTCCCTCCTTGCTGGACTCAACTCCCGCATCAAAGCCTCACTCATCTCCTCCATCACGCTGCCCAATGGACAATCCACCTCCCACCTCCCCTCCATGACCGCGGAATGCACCCGATACTTTCAAACCTTATATTCCGGCGCCTCAACTGTCACCCATAACCCGTCCTTCTGGCAGCACATTCCCCGCTCCTCCCTCCCTGACCCTCTAGTCCACTCCCTCCAGGCCCCCTTCTCTCTTCTCGAAATTGGAAAGGCTCTTGGCCTACTCTCCCGAGGAAAAACGCCCGGTCCAGACGGCCTCCCAGGAGAACTCTTCCGTCTATACAGACCCCGCTTCACCCCCGCTTTCCATGCCCTTCTGGGACAGCAGCCGCCTCCAACGCTGCCCCCGTCTATGCTCTCCGGCCGCACTGTCCTCATTCCCAAGAAAAGTGATTCCACGCTCGCGGAAAACCTCCGTCCTATAACCCTTATGAATGCATACTACAAGGCCTTAGCGCTCTGCCTCACCAACCGCCTACAACGGGTACTTCCGCTCCTAATTCACCCCTCGCAAACTGTGTTTATCAAACACCGGAAAATTGGGGACACCATCAACGACACCCTCGATATTATGGACTGGGCACTGTACAAACAAACCCCGCTTCTTGCCCTAACGGTCGACTTCTGCAAAGCTTATGACCTCGTCAATCGCCCCTTCCTTCTTCAAACCCTCTCTCACCTCGGCCTCCCGCCACAATTTGTTCACTGGGTTTGCCTCATGCACTCTGACACGGCGACATGCATTGCCGTCAACAACTTCTCGGGCCCACTATTTCCGGTTCGCCCAGGAGTTCGACAGGGATGCCCCCTCGCTCCTCTTCTATTTGTCTGCGTCATCGAAATCTTCCACCGCTACATGTCCCTTTACCTCCTCGGCTTCCCCCTCGCGCCTGCGACTCGCCGTCTCATGGCCTGCAATGCAGATGATGTCACCCTCTTCCTCTCATCTAACAACGAACTTGGTATTTCTGTCGATCATCTATCAACCTTCGCCGCTGTGTCCGGCGAAACTCCCAGCTGGAACAAATGCTCCATTATTCCCTTCAATCTCTCCCCCCTTTTGATCTCAAGGGCTGGACCCATTCCTATCCGCGCTCCGCATGAAGCCGAACGCATTCTCGGCATTTTTATTGAGCAAAGCCAGCCAGGCAACACTGCATGGACTACCACCCTTGCCCGCATACAGCGTACTTCCAAATACCTTGCATCCCTTCGGGCAACCGCCACATGTCGGAAAACCCTCGCATCTATCTTTCTCAACTCCACTCTGTCCTTCCCTGGCCGCTTCCAACCTGCCCCAAATGAAGTCGTCACTAGCCTTGACGTCGCAATTGGCAACTTTCTCTCCTCTTCTCGCTACAAGGACTCCGGCCTTGTGGTCGGGCTGATCCCTAACCGACTCCTCTACAATTCCCCTCGTCACGGCAGACTCGACGCCATCGCCCCATCAACACAGATACGCGCACTCTCCATCCAACGTGCGCTTCGCCGCTTCGGTGCATCGCCTTCAGAAGAGGTTGCGCGGACAGCCATCCCCTTACCTTTCGGCACTCATGCTCTCCTCGCCCATCCGGCCATTCTTAAAGAGAACGTCATGCCTCCCTCCAGCCCCCTTCGCGCCCTTGCAGAACTTCGCGCTCTGTTGCCCCTTGCTCCTGCTGTCTTACCCCCCCCACTTGTCCCGTTATATCTGCTTGGAGAACCTACCGCTTTTAACCGTTTCATCCTCAAACCCAATGGAAAATCCTTCGGCCTTCTAAAAAAAGAACGATTCCTCCTTCTCCGCCAGATCCGACTAGGCCATATTTTCATTGCCTCATTTCAAGGCCTTGAACCCATCTCTACAGACGCTTTTGCTAAGTCCTTCCCCCCGTCGGTAGTCCCCTCTGGCCGTCGCGTTCTGCGAGACCTCATCGCACCATTCCCCCCTCTTAGCTTGCTGCACTCCGCACTCCACCACCCCCTTACGCATCCCCTGGAGACTGGTTTATCCCGAACCGCGACCTCCACTCCCACGTTGGCTTTACAAGCTATATCCTTCACCCCTCCTCACGCACTCTCTATGTGTTTATATCGGGTCCTCCCGAACCGACTCATCGAGCGCACCTCCATCGGTTCTGGCACGTTCCACATAGACGACGTTACGGCTGTGCACACCCAGGGCCGCTGGGTTGCAGGGCCACTTCATACAGGTGCAGGTCTAGGAGCACGGTTGGAGCTACTTCAAGACGGTATTCCAAGCCTCGCATCCCTCCGCCTCCTCCTATACTCGCAGCAGCCTCTGGACCACGAACTCCGCTGGACCCGCGCCCTCTCTTCTTCCCCTCCTCCTCTTCTCCCCAATCTCTCACATGAGTTCCTCCGCGATCAACCCAGCTTGCAACGAAATCTCCTCTTTCGCTTCTACACCCGCTCCCTCCCATCGGGGGCTCGTTTCCAGTTTGGAACAGACCGCGGACGTTGCCAGTTCTGCGCCTCTAATCAGATCGAAACACTCTCTCACATCTTCTTCTGCTGCGGACCCGCCCTTGACGTCATCACCGCTCTCGGCAACGTCGCCACTCGCCACCTCGGCTGCTCCCCCTCTCCTGAGCTTCTCTTATTTCCCCTTCACTCTCGAACAGGACAATCCGTCCCTTGGAGTTTGTTAGTTGGAGCAGCTGCTAAGACTCTATGGAACGCGAGGTGCGAGCGGAAATTTCATGACTCAACGTCGTCCCATTTTGAAATCCTCCAACTCATACTCGCCCAATTCCTTCTCGCCTTCAAGATTTTCATGTGGCGAAGGGCCAAGCAAGGTCGAAAAAAACAACAACGGTCCACCTCGCGCATCAAGGCCGCCTCCCGCCTTCGCTTCATCCACTTTGACTCCAACGGCGGCCCCTCTATTCATCCTGATTTACGTGTGTCCTGGCTCCTCGTGAACCCCTTCCGCCCTCCCTGAATCGCACCCCCGTCATAGAGCGCTCCACCTTGGTTCTGGTGGATGTCCCTCCTGGGATTAGGGAATAACGTCTTTTACTACGTACTCCTGCTAGGCAGTTGGTTTTTTTTCCATATTCCCTGCATGCTCTATATATGTATGTACACCATAATATAACCTTAACCATCCCCCGCACCGACACTCATCGCGATTCGGGAAGCTGACGGCACCGTCGTTCCCGCCGGACCCGAGCCAAGGCACTGCCTCCTCCTGACCTGATTCCTGAACAAACACAAACGGCAAACCCTTCGATGGTAGAGTTTTGCCGTGGAACTCTGCTCCCCTCCCTAGCCACTCCCGTCTGGTGTGAAATGTACACTCGAACCGTCAGCCACTGGTTGTTCCTCCCTGAATCCTGATTGGAGAGCAATTGTTTCTGGAAGTTCGCAATATGCTTAGCGAGGTTCGCTAATGTCGCGGAATTTTCGGGCATTGCAGCACCAACGGGAAACTTGGAGTTACCCTACGTGGGGGAAGATGACCCCTATTATTTCCCTCTCCCTTGAAACTGCATGGGGTCCATTCAGGAGTGTTGGGACTTCGGCCCTGTTCTGTTGGCGCATAAGCGGTACTACGCCCTAACGATGAACATTCTCGGAACGCGCATAACAAGGCTTAAAACCCATGTCGAACCTCCCAAATCGTTATTGTCTCTCGAACCTCTGGTGCGGGAGTTGTGCGCGCATTACTCATGCGTGCACAAGAACGCTGTACTCTCTGTGCGCTGAGAAAATTCCACGAGCTTGGTTCCACAGGCAAATTTCCCGCATGGCCTGTGCGAGCTCTATGCGCTCGTCGAGGGGGGATTGAAGAGGCGCACAACCAGTAACGGGCAGATCCAAACGCCCGTTTTGGAGTATTTGTTCGGTGGAATACTCACCCCAAAAACAATCCAACGGCTAACCAGTAAATCTGACACATCCAGAGCATCAATCGCGAAATTTTGACTTTGGAAGAGTGCCAGGGCAGTGTGTAGCAACAAATTCTCGGGCAGATGGGAGAAAAAAAACCGTAATTTTGTCGATTAGTAAGCCCTTTCGACGAGGCTGCATGCCCTTTCTTCTTTCGAGGAAAACGCTGCCCGCAGGACCTGTGCGGCAGTTGCGAATGGCCTGTGCGCCAACAGAACAAGGCCTCGGAATGCAGCATTCGTCGTGAGAACGGCCTGCTGCGTCCCAGCTTCTGTGCCGTGCTTCCTAGTAGAAAATATCCCAACTCCCTAGCTTCAATTCGGCTACAAGAACCATGTGTATGCGCTGCAACAGGAGCTCGTCCCTGACTTGGATCACGGTTCTCAAGTTTGCCCGCCATCCGAAGTAGGGACAAGTGTAGACGAAAGTACACGTCTGATTGGCTTCCATGCTCCAAGATATCTGGAAACTTGTGTGATGACCAATGGTAGGGTGTTTTTACACGTCAGTGAGGGCCATTTTGAGCTGATGGCGGGCAAACTTCGCCCAGAACCGTGACCTTAGGGACTTCCTGAGCCGAGATCCCTCGACCGTCGCTGTGCAGCGGCAGGAGATCCACGTGGCGTGGTTCCTCAGCCGACTCGGCTTAGTACTTTCAGCCCACTCAACGATCCGTCGCCGCGGCGGCGTCAGTGCGGCGATGTTGACTCTTAGTACTAAGCTGCATCGCAGCGCGCTGATTCTCGCGTTGTGGCTGCTGGTGGTGGACGCCCAGTGGGGTGATCCCGTATATCTGGAGGAATCGCAAGGTACTATATAGGCGCACCTGTGTGCTGGTAACCGATACTATAGCGCCACCGGGCCCCGGGCTGGTACTAGTAACGGGGTCTGATTGATACGATGAGATTATTTTAGGGTCTTTCTGCCCGCAGTTGATCCGTTGCGCTCAGTTATTTTCCCTCTTTTATGAATCTCCACTGCGCAGCACAATTCTTGAAAGACTGGACATCTCAGGATTGGTCAGAGGACCCCTGCGATTTTATTTCTTTTGTCTTCTGCGGCAACGACGGCATGATCTATGCAATGTGAGCTCTCGGTTTGATTAGCAAACCAAGTGGTGTTCACTTAAACGGCATTTGAGACACTACCGGCTCTCGTTTTACTAAAACGTAGTACGTTAGAGTGAGTCAACTCATCTAGGACGAAATAGCAAACTATCTCTACATGACAGCTTGTAAACCATCATGTTCATCCCTAATTGTGAACCCATGGTGGTGGTGATGACGATGGGCGTGCAGGGACATGCGTAACTTTCGGACGGAATCCATTCCAGACTCGATCAGCGCGCTCCAGAAACTCCAATTGATGTAAGGCATGCGCTGCTTCGCGGCCCTGCCGCGCTGCTGCGCGGTTCTTTCAAATCACTTACATTTGAATCTCCTCCTTCGCTGCTTTTCCCTTGGTTTGGTTCCCGGCTTAAAATTGGAGCACAGCATGCACAGAACATTCTATTTCCTACCTAGTGCGTCATAGCCATAGGGCCACCATCGTCGAGCCGCCACAGCCTTTCTAAGAGCCGCCATAGCCGTAGGAGCCGCTATCCGAGGTATCTAGTAGTACCCCTCAAGAGCAAAAGGAAGGCCGCTTGGTGCTGAAGCAAGCAAGCACTGACAGGGGCTTGGCACGCCGTAGCTACAAATCTTCCACCTCTGATGGTCCACCCCTGGCGAAAGTGGTTCTCTGGCTGGAGGACAGAAGTGGCTGGCGGGTTTGCACTCTCTCCTCTGCTCTCCCACTGTTCCCTTCCCAACAACTTTCTCTTCACTTGCATCCCTCTCTGTTCCCTTCCCACCAACTTTTTCTTCACTTGCATCCCTCTCTTTGCCTTCCTTTCTCGCGTCTACCAGCCGAATAATCGGCTCAACCATTCCAGGCACAATTCCTTCAGAATTGGGGAGCATCACTTCTCTTATGTCCGTGTAAGCTGACACTGCCGGATTTGTACCAGCGGTACTAGTGTCATGTTCAAGGTCATAAGCCGTTTTGTTTCTTCTTCTTCTCCTTCCTTTCGTTCGAATAACCGTTTGTCGTCCCTGTTCTTGTGGATGAGCCTGTGCTTTGTTCCAGTGAGTGAGTCGCGTGTTCATTCCCATCTTTCCCATGCGTTCTTTCCCATGCGTTCTTTCCCATGCGTTCTTTCCCATGCGTTCTTTCCCATGCGTTCTTTCCCATGCGTTCTTTCCCATGCGTTCTTTCCCATGCGTTCTTTCCCATGCGTTCTTTCCCATGCGTTCTTTCCCATGCGTTCTTTCCCATGCGTTCTTTCCCATGCGTTCTTTCCCATGCGTTCTTTCCCATGCGTTCTTTCCCATGCGTTCTTTCCCATGCGTTCTTTCCCATGCGTTCTTTCCCATGCGTTCTTTCCCATGCGTTCTTTCCCTTGCGTTCTTTCCCTTGCGTTCTTTCCCTTGCGTTCTTTCCCTTTCCACAGAGAGCTGAGCTATATCGAAGGCTTGTCGGGGCCCATACTGCCTGCGCTCATGAACTCGCATAGTATCAGCAGGCTGTATGTAACAGTAACACTTGCCGAGCACTTTCTGTATTTGCGGTACAGGACCCTACTGTTGCAACTGAATCTCTTTTCCACCATCAGTATGACACCCGGACATCCCACCAACCCACCAACAGTCTCCCCCTTCCTTCGGTTCCCCTGCCATTCTGACTGTCTCCTTGTCCTCTGCCTGTCCTCTGCATTCTGCTTAACGACCCAATCACAATGAGACCTCTCCTTTCCATTACTTACTAGAGACAGTCACGCAGCAACACGCCACACACACACACGCACGCATGCACGCACGCACGCACATGCACGCGCACGAACACGCGCGCGCACGCACAGACGCGTGCACACACACTCACGCACACGCACCCCTGCGCGCGCACCCGCACGCACATGCCCGCACGCGCACTCGCTCGCACGCATGCATGCACACACAAACATACATCTACCATTCGTCTCGTCCCCCCTCCCTGTTGCCCGTTTTCTTCCGCCCCTGCACCTCGTCTTCTCCACCACAGGATTCTCAACAGGTGCAATTTTGATGGAACCATCCCCTCAGGCATTGGCTCCTTAGCAAGTCTCGAGTACCTGTGAGTTCAGCCTAAAACCCCAAGATCTCTAACCACACCACACCTCACTTCACCTCACCTTACCTTATTCACATCTTGGCATCATACTATGTTCAGAATGTTTGTTTTCCCTCCTTCGTCCCACCTGTTCCATTCTCTTTTCCATCTCTACTAGTACCCCTGTCCTCTGACTGAACGAAACCATTTCAGTGCTGCTTCCAGTCTCACCTGATTATATGCCTGCCCACCTGCCTGCCTGCCATGTCTGCCACATGCACCACGTGTCATTCCAGCCAGCTGTCAGTGAATCAGTTCACAGGACCAATTCCTGATTCCATTGGGAACCTCTGGCAACTTCGGTACTTGTGAGTCGAGCGGAATGCCCTTCAATGACTGTTCCTCACTCTGCAACCTCCCAACGACTTTCCAGCCCTGTGCGTCGTGTAGCAGTGGGGCTTGTTTGGTGTCTAAAAATTAACATTCTATTACAGTAATTATTCGGACGTGATTGTCACAAGCTCTATCATCTCCCCCTCACAAACACGCATAAACCCATCAACAAACCCATGAACCCACCAATCTAACCACCCTGCAGGGACCTATCATACAACCAGCTCTCTGGACCCATCCCACCAACCCTCAGCAACCTCGGCAGACTAACACAACTGTATGTATGACAGTCCGCCCTTGTCAATGCCACCCACTGCTTCATGCTAGTTTGTGTACATTTGCTACACACGGACAAAAGCGGCTTTTCCAGAGTGCCCCACAGAAACCTTTCTCCCCCCCTCCCCATCCCCCCTCAACCTTTCTCGCCTTCACCCACAACCTGCCACCTCGGCTCTTCTTCTTTGCGCGATATCTCCAAAGTTCCAACCCTAAACCCTGGCCAGCAGCACTCCGGCCTCACTGTCCTGCTTTCCCTCTGCACTCCCACCTTCCCATGCCACAGGAATCTCCATTCCAACTATCTGACAGACTCCATCCCTTCGATTAGCTCAATGACAGATATGCTCTACCTGTCAGTACCCACCCGCCATGCCCACCTTCCCTGCTTCTGCCATCGCCGCCACTGCATGCACTACTTGCCTTGCCAGGCTGCTGACAGCAATATTATTCCAGCTGCTGGTCTTGCCGGTGTTACCTCTCCTCCTCCTCCTCCTCCTCCCCCTCCTCCTCCTCCTCCTCCTCCTCCTCCTCCTCCTCCTCCTCCTCCTCCTCCTCCTCCTCTTCCTCCTCCTCCTCCTCCTCCTCTTCCTCCTCCTCCTCCTCCTCCTCCTCCTCCTCCTCCTCCTCCTCCTCCTCCTCCTCCTCCTCCTCCTCCTCCTCCTCCTCCTCCTAGTGCTGCTGCTGCTGCTGCTGCCACCACCACAGCCACCTCCCAATCTGCACTCTTCCCTTCAGCAACACCTTTGCACATGCAGAAACATATCCCCCACTTCTCATCCTTCCCACGTGTCTCTTTCTCCTCCACTGCACCTCTTCTCCCCCAGGGACCTAGGCCACAACCGTCTGTCAGGAGGCATCCCAGACCTGAGTGCCATGACCAACCTCCAAAGCCTGTCAGCTATTCTTACCAAATACATGACAGATGTTCCTCAATGCTTCTCTCCCCCGCCTTCTCACCCGCTCTCTTCCTTTCCTCTCACGCTCTCACTCTCGCGTTTCCTCGCCCTCTGCTCCCTCTGGCACCGCCCTTGGACCCTTGTGCTGCTCGCAAGCTACTGAGGAAACGCCTGCTGAGCAAGCGTCCATTGGGCCGCACCACTAGCTTTCTCCTTCTCCTCCTTCCGTCCCTGCCCTCTTCCATGATCCTTCCAAGAAGATTCACTGTGCAACCTTGCAGCAGAATATTGCCGGGTCACTTGCATGGTATGACCCGCTCGTTGATTACTGTTTACCTATCCTTCTCTCCATGTGGCAGGGACCTAAGTCAGAACGAGCTGAATGGAAGCATCCCAGCGTACCTCTTCTCATTTGCGAAACTCGACCAACTGTAAGCGAGAGGCCATGCCTGGGCTGTAAGGAGGAAGGCCCTACCCATCTTTCTTTTTTCGTCCGATTGAGCATGCAGGCATGATCACGAGTGTGAAAAGAATGTGTGAAATGAAATGTGTGCGGGAAGTAATGTGTATCAGTGAGCAAGCAATGGTGCGTATCAGTGAGCGAGCAATGGTGCGTATCAGTGAGCGAGCACCATGTGTGCACAATAAGATAACAACCACCAGTTCACTCGACTCAACTGATCAACCTTCTTTTGTTACTGATTACGGCAGTGTTGTTGTCTTGTTGTGTCTATGCACCCGTCACTTGTGCTGCAGATGGCTTAGCATGAACAAGTTGACAGGATCCATCCATCCCCACAAAGTGACTTTTGGGTCGACTCAAAAGTCACCTTGTGGTGTCTACGCTATGCACCCATCACTTATGCAGATTGCTTAGCATGAACCAGTTCACGGGATCCATCCCCACAACAATCGACAGCCTTACCAACCTCAGACGCCTGTGAGTGGCAACAAGTTAGCTCAATTCCCCCACATATGGCGTCTATATGTGGCTCTGTGTAACTGTAACATTACACATGTCAATTCCAGATCGTGCAACTTTACACCATCAAACAGCAATCATGGCCCCTCTCTCAATCCACAACCCCCTCTCTCCTTTCTTGTCTGCATTCGCTCACTCCTCATGGCCTTCAGGTCTCTCGCTTTCAACCAGCTGTATGGAACCATACCGGCCACAACCACCAGCCATGATTTTCTGGTGTCATTGTAAGCTGCATCAACTTGCGGGCGGGCTAACTAGCCCTCGCACTTGTTTTCGTCCGTGCATTCAGTCGTCTGTTCCGTTGTTCGCGTTCCGTCGCACATTGGTTCCATTCCACGTGTGGCTCCCGCACTCGAAATTGCACACTCGCTATCCTATCCTATCTCGCAGTTTTCGGCTCATGCAGTTGCGGTTTCTCTTGGGAACTCTTTTCTTGATATTCACCTAGCGAACGTAAAAGACGCTAATGTCCAGTTTCAACCCTGGGAAATGTCCTCACCTACCGAACGTATGTATCTCATGGCTGAATGCAGGCTTGTGTACAACACCGAATCGCATTCACTTCACCCCCATACCCTCTGACCCTGTGGGACTGACGCACAAGAGCATTGAAGTGCATTCATATCCACCTGTCCTCGTCCCTTCTCTTCCACAACCACTCCCCCCCCACGTCTCCCTCCCCCCGCACGTCTCTCTCCCCCTGCACGTCTCCCTCCGCCCTCCATTCCCCAGCGACCTCTCCCACAACTTCCTCACAGGCCCCATCGTGAAGCCCGATACCGGCTCCGCTGATCTATCCAACAACTACCTCTCAGGCGCTCTGACTGACGAGCCCACTGATGTCTCTGTGGCCGCCAATTGCTTCACATTGCCTGACGGGGCTACCTGGTCGCCGCAGCGGCCCGAATCAGCCTGCCAAGCCTTTTGCGGCATTTCCAAGTTGAATTCCGGTGCTGGTGGTGCTGCTTGTGGCGGCCACGGGCTGTGCTATCCGGACGGGCCTAGCTTGGCGCCGACCTGCTTGTGCGACGCGGGGTTTGTGAAATTTGGAGAGATGTACTGCCTTGTTGAAGGTAAGGGGTTTAAGGGTTTACCGAGAATGGCGCATAGGTACAGCACGGTATAGCACAGCACAACCGCAGGAGTGCGTAGCACCGCACAGCAGCACACAGCACAGCGCAGCGCAGCACATCACAACACAGCACAGCGCAGCGCAGCATAGCACAGCACAGCACAGCACAGCACATCACAACACAGCACATCACAACACAGCACAGCGCAGCGCAGCGCAGCGCAGCACATCACAGCACAGCACAGCACAGCACAGCACAGCATAGCACAGCACAGCACAGCACAGCACAGCACAGCACAGCACAGCACAGCACAGCACAGCACAGCACAGCACAGCACAGCAGTAGAGCCATGGGTGGCCAGTGCAGCACAGACTTGTTTGCCGCGATCTGAATCTTGACCTCCGAAACCCAGCGAACCAGCACCTTGCACACTTGTGCGCGTCTTCAATAGACAAAAGCCCTCGAGTTCCCTTCCTCCTTCCCTTCTCTTCTTCCCCTGAACCCATCTTCGTTCCTCCCCGTACTTGTTCTTTCCCATCCATCTCATGTGTTCTCACGTGTCCAGGCTCGGTTCTTGCCTCCCCAGTCGACGCGGAAATCCTCCCCCCAGCAACCGTGCTCACCACAGGGACGAAGAAGGAAGCCAGAGGGATGTTTACAGAAGAGCCAGTGACCCTGTTTGTGTACGAGAAAGGCCGGGAGGACCCCGGGTGCGGGTTCGAGCTGGGCTTTAATGTCAACTTCACCTTCTCCCTCTCGCCCAAAGGCAAGGCCGTGTCCAACGGCTTTGCTTTTGTGGTGTCGGCAACAACCACGGTGGGGAGCAGCGATGGAGTGGGGTACGGCGGGATGGATTATCGAAGCATGGCCATCGAGTTTGACGTTCTTCAGAACATCCAGCATCTCGACATGAAAGAGCAGCACGTGGGGCTGAATATCAACGGGCAGGACATATCAATCGCCGCTGTTAAGTCCCCATTCCCGCTGGCCAACAAGCAGGTATACACGGCATGGGTGAACTACGAACCTGGCGATCCCGGCACCATCCAGGTCTTCCTGGCAAAGGAGACAGTAGTGACGAGAACAGGGAAGAGGGCAGGGAAGAGGATAGTAAAGCGGGTAGTGAAGAGGGCACAGAAGCCGATGAGGCCGCTGCTGGAGAGGCGGCTGTCGCTGTGTGATGTGCTGCAGCCGGGGCCACCGCAGGAGGATCCGCAGGCGGAGGATGATGAGCCGCAGGCGCAGCAGGCGTTCTACTTTGGGTTTGTGGCGTCCACCACTGTGCAGCCGTTCATGAGCCACGCCATTCTCAACTCGTTCGTGCACGCAGGTAAGATGCTTGACCGGGTGGCGATGGTGGTTGCTCGGTGAGGATGATGGGATGGCATAGCGAGGATGATTGATTTGGGAGGGAGAATGGATGGCACAGGATGATTGGATGGCAAAGGGAGAATGGATGACGGTGATGTTGTTTGTTGGGGATATTTTCAGCAGTGACGATTGTGGGACATTTGATTGTCGGATCTAGGATGGGTTCTTGGATGGTGTGGGTGATGAAGGTGATGCCAATGCTGTCGCTGCCGCTGCTGCTGCTGCTGCCGCCGCCGCTGCCGCCGCTGCCGCCGCTGCTAGCGCTGCCGCCGCCGCCGCCGCCACCGCAGCTGCTGCCGCTGCCGCCGCCGCCACCGCCGCTGCTGATCATGCTGATGCTGACGATCCGATGCCGATGCTAGTATTATGGTGGATACAGTGGTGGATATCTGGCACGACTATAACTAGTTCTTGATAAGCAGAGCCGTTACCACTGTGCTGATACGGTGTTTGTATGATCCCCCCCTTTCTCCTCTCTCCCCACGCCACATCCGCAAAACCTTATCATACAGGCGATCCCAGCACCCCTCTTCCATCATTAGTGGTGGAGCAATAGCGCGAGTGGAAGCGAACTCAATCCATTGTAGCTTGTATTTTCCATGCCCAGAATCTATATCTGCACTTCCTTTTTTTTTTCATCTATCTTGCACGCGTGTGTCTCCTCTTTGCAGACCTGCCTCCTCCACGCGTTTCAGTTGACGTTCCTTCAGGCAAGTGTATTCAACTCAAGTGGAGCCAAGTCGTCTAAAAAGAATCTCCGCCGCCGCCGCCTCCTCCTCCTCCTCCTCCTCCTCCTCCTCCTCCTCCTCCGTCTCTCTTTTAAATCCTCTTCCTTCTCTTTTGACTTCCTTCTCTCTTCCTTCTTGAAAGTGTTATGGCAAGTTTAATAGTATTAGTTTCCCCTTCTGCCCCGATGTTCCCTTCGCAAGTTCCTGTTTGAACGCTACTCACCGCATCGCCCTCGATGCACCTCTCCCATCTGTCGAATTCATGCGTGCCCCTCAACTCAACATACAGCTCTTGGCCTGAGTCTCACAGTGAACACGTATGCGCCGGTACGGGCGAGCCCGTTCCCGCGCTATGTGAGTGCGGACTACCGAGTGGCGGCAGGGAAGCAGGACTCGTGGGTCTTCAGGGACCTCCACTCCTGGGACTCCGTGCCCTTCCTCGGCTGGCCCGTCAAGAACCAGAACGCCTGCAGTGAGTGTTATGGATGGGGGCCTTAGTTGAAAGAAGAAGGGGGGCTGGTAAACATGTGAGAAGGATGAGGCCATTCTCGTCTGTGTTGCTCTGCGCCTGCCGTGCTCTGTCATGTGGCCATGCCTCTTTCAACCCCTTTCATTCGCATTGGTTCCAATGCACTCGTTCAACGCATTCAGGTGGCATTTCTTTCAGAGAGCCCTTGTCAACTAAGGAACCCCAATCCGCATTTGTTCTTTTGCCCTCTTCAGATGCGTGCTGGGCGTATGCAGTGGTGGCGAGCATCGAAGCAGCATACGGCATCGCAACGAATGGAGAGGCGCCACAGCTGTCAGTGGAGTCGCTCTTTGCAGCCATGGGGCTCAGCAAAGAGGTCAAGTGCACCGCTGGAGGCTCCCCGACGGAAGCCTTTGAGAAGCTGCTTGCTCTGCCCAAAGGGGGTCTCACCTTGGACGGCAATCCGGTATGCGCAACAGAGTGTGGTAGCAAATAATTACTGTCGCAAGTGTGGAGAAGGAACATTGTCGCAAAAAAGGCTGTTAAGGAATATTGTCACAACAAAGTGTGGTAGCAAAGGGATATTGTCGCAAGAAAGTCCGCTAGCAAAGGATTTTCTGTCGCTACAAAGTTTGCTAGCAAGGGAATATTGTCGCAACAAAGTGTGTAAGCAAAAGAAAATCGTCCCAACAAAGTGTGGTAGCAAACGGGTAGTGTCACAGTTTGGTGGAAAACAGGTAGTGTTGTTACACAATGTGTACTCATGCTCTGTTATCTACTTTTTCCCACACATTACGCGTGGTTTTATATGTCACGTGAAGAGGCACCCTTTTTAGAGCTTTGAGTGCATGTCCTTCATTTATGGCATTCATGTTCCGAATGCCACACACATTTATGAACGGAATCACAGGGGAAAAAGTATCCTATCCAAGGATTCGAGCGCGCATCCTTCAAGGGGTATGTGGGGCTCATGCTGGCAGTGCAGCGGCAGCCAGTGGTGGTTCACATCGAAGCCTCTGCTGCCACGTTCGCCTCGTATGACGGGGTGAGTGCTGTTGGGCCGGTGCATCCAACTACCCTTGTATCTATTCCGTATTTTTCGACTTTTGAGGCGACTTTTGAGGCGCCTCAAAGGTGAGTGCTGCTGGCCGGTGTATCCAACTACCCGTGTATATATGCCGTATTCGTCAGGGCCTCTGCTGACACGTTCGCTTCATATGATGGGGTATGCTTGACCGATGTATCTCCAGTGTTGGGCATATTTGTGGAGTGTTTTGGGAATTTGTTGTGTTTTGCACATTCTTTCTTTGGTACTCAAGGTGTGAGTTGGAAGTTGTGTGTTGACTGCAACTTCGGTCTGTTGGCCATGTTCACTCAGTACAATGTTGAGAGTGGCCACGTGTATGAAGATTTGTTTTGAGACGTCTCAAAACAAATCTTCATACACGTGGCTACTCTGTTGACCATGTTTCACTCAGTACAATGTTGAGAGTGTCCATCATTGTGAAAGCATTTTCATTTCATCCTGGATTTGCATTTCTCGCACTTCTTGCGTTTCTTGCATTTTCTCTTCTCTTCTTCCCACTTCTCTTCCTCTCATCCCTTTGCCAGACGTTCAAGTACCAGGACCCTGCCTGCTATAGTGGCGACCTGAACCACGTGGTGCTGGTGGTGGGCTATTTCATTCTCCGGGATGACGGCAGCCAGAGCCGCATTGCTCCGCCGTTTTGGATCATCCGCAACTCGTGGGGCGAGGGCTGGGGAGACAGGGGCCACATGCGCATGGACATTCAGGGAGGGGATGGCGTGTGTGGCATCAACGTGCTGCCTGGCATCTACCCAATCATCAAGAGTGAGGCATTCAACCCATTGTCAAGGATGAGACCCATCCACTTACTGCTCCATTTCTCACTTATTGTGAACGTCTATAAGCAGCCTTTCTCTCTAGAAAAATCCAACCTTTTCACTTTCTGTGAAAGTTCACCCAGTCTACGTTTGTTATTCCCCCGTTTTTCCTCCACCCTCGTTGTCGCCGTGCAGTCCCGGGGGACCCATGTGGCAGCAAGAGCTACAAGGGCGATGGTGACCTGCAGCCCAGCATGAACCCGTGCGGACGCTTTACCTGCACGGCCATTGCACAGACGGACACCAGCATGTGCACCTGCTCCCTTGCCTCTCAGCCCAAGCAGCCCTTTGTCCCAGTCCTTAGCAACTACGGCGCCCAGACGTGTGCCTATGGTGAGAATCGCGCATTATCTACATGCTTAGTAACACCCCAGCAGTGGATGTGTGTGCAGGCTGTGCTTGAGGCACCTCTTAAGCCTTCAGCCCCCTATTAATCCCCTTCTTCCACCCCTCTTACCCTGCATAGCAGTGGACGTGTGTGGGTCGTACTTTATTTTTGCCTTCATCCTCCCCATCATCCCCCTCTTACCCGGTATGGCAGTGGACGTGTGCGGGTCGTGCTTGAAGCATCTCTTAGCCTTTAGCCCCTTCCTCATCCTCCACTGTCGCCCCTCTTACCCGGCATGGCAGTGGACGTGTGTGGGTCGTACTTGATTTTTGCCTTCATCCCCCCCATCATCCCCCTCTACCCGGCATGGCAGTGGACGTGTGTGGGCCATACTTGATATTTGCCTTCATCCCCCCCATCATCCCCCTCTACCCATCATGGCAGTGGACGTGTGCGGGTCGTACTTCAAGAACCCCTGTGCCGTGGGCACATGCATCAACGATGGCAAGGGCTCCTACTCCTGCATCTGCCCTCCCAACCACGTCCCCAGCCGAACCATCGATGACTTTCCCACCTGCGACCCAGGTATGGTCAACTGCTGCTCCCTCCCCACCTGCGACCCAGGTAAGGCTAACTGCTGCTCCCTTCCCCCTTGACACCCAGATGCCGCCCCTCCCTACCTGTGTCCCAGGTGCGGTCTACTGCTCCTCCCTCCTCCCCCTGCCAACCACGTGCTTCCTCCTCCCCTTTGCTTGCGCAAGGCCTCTGGCCTCCTGATGTTTTCCAGCATCGTTTCCTGATGTTTTCCAGCATCGTTTGCCCATTACATTCCCCTTTGCTTATCTGACGTGACGTTCTCGCCTCTCTTCCCCCTTGTGTGACGTTGCCCTACATGCAGTTAATGCCAGTGCCACCACCATGACAGTCGACGGAGACAATTGGTCGTGCAGCAATGTGCATCCTGTGCTGGGCGTCACACTTGCACAGTTCAAGAGCAGCAACTCTGTAAGCGGGGGCGGGGAGGCTGGCGTGGGTCGTAGTAGTTAGGAGAGGGTGGGCGGCCGGGCAGAGGCACTGAGGTTTGGGAGGAGCAGGAGGGGTGGAGAGAGTTGGGATGGATGCAGTCAGGCGGTGCATGGAGGTAATGTAAGAACCGATAAATTGTATAAGAGATAGGCGAGCCAGTGTACATAGTTGGATGAGAAAAGTGGGGGGCTGGTTTCGACCTTGCCAGCATTATTGGGCAGCACCAGTAAGTTGGGCTGGAAAATTATTTGGGGGTCCCAATATTTTTGGGGGTCTATTAATCTCCAATCCAACCTCAGGGTTCATCTAAACCCTAAACCTTGAACCAAGGTTTGACTTCCTACCCCAACTAATGGCGAGCCTTTGTTTGCACCCAAACTGAGTTCGGGTGCTTAAATCTTCTCAAGGTATCTAGTAAGGCGATTGACAGGTAATGGGTGTAAAAGTAGGGGTTGGAAGAGTTAGGGATGGCACGTTGCAATAGCGGTACTGCAGGAGCAATGGGTTTGTTTATGGGCTTGTTTGTCGTCTCCTGGGAGTCGCCTTTGCAATTTGTGAATCAAAGATTCTCATGATTGTTCTCCCATGCTTATCCACCTCAATGCAGGATATAAACTGCAACCAGCCTTTGCCTAGAGGAACGGTGCTTCAAATTGCAGGCACTCCCTCCATCCCCTGCACTGCCTTCTTCTACACCCTCAATGTGAGCTCCAAGATTCCAAGGTTTGCTTTTGAGTCGACTCAAAAGGGGCTCCAAGATTCGAAGGTTTAGGCTTTTGGGGCGCCTCAAAAGGCGTTCTTTTACACCCCCAAGGTGAGCTCCAAGATCCCAATGTTTATATACTGCAGTCCTGTGCCTAAAATTTTTACTCCTTCCATACAGTTTCTCTGCCCTTTTTCCCAACTTTCAACAACTGCCCAAGTCATGAAGCTTTGCTTGCAGCGCCATGCATCAGCAGCATCACCTAGCATCAAAACTAGTCATGATTGTTTCTACTCCCATCCTCTCCCATACTCTCGCATCCTCTCCCATCCTCTCCCATCCTCTCCATCCTCTCCCATCCCCTCCCATCCTCTCCCATCCTCTCCATCCTCTCACATTCCCTCCCATCTTCAACTCTCAACCCTTCGCATCCCCTCTCTGCCTCTCTCCATGGCTGCCTCTCTCTCCCCACCAGGGCGACACGTGTCAGTCCATTGCCACCTCCATTGGTCGCACAAAGAGCGACCTCATGGCGCTCAACCCGGGCATCTCGTGCACCCAGACCATAAAGCCCGGCCGCTCCCTCTGTGTGGAGCGCAACGCCACATACGCCTACACGGCCCCCAAGTGTGTCAAGTACGCCACACTCACAGCGCAGGACACCTGTGAGAGTCTGCTCAAGGGGTCAAAAAACCCAAAGATTGAGCCCCACTTCTGGGCTGAGCTCTACCGCAACAACCCCGGCCTCGTCTGCTCCAACACCATCCCTGGCTCTGCCTCGGCTGTTGGCAGCAACGTTGGCGTGCAGGTGAGCGGTGGAAATAGGAGGGAGACGGAGGCGAGGGAAGGGGATGTGGGGGGAATAGGTGGAGGGGAGGAAAGTTGGGAGGCCATAACTGCAGTTATCAATATCTTCTTTGCTGGCCATTTTTCCTCCGGAAAACCTTGTCTCTCACCCCCCTGTTCGCATCTTGCTACCCCAGGTTTGCCTCAGGGCGGAGTACTGGTCGTTTGAGCTGGGAAGGTGCGACAAGGGCCGGGAAAAGACGGTGTCGCCATCGCTCACGTGTTCCGGTTCTTACAGATTCTATAACCGCAACATGACCATTGCAGCGAAGGACTTTTATACATATAACGGACAGAACTGTGCCAAAAATGTTGGATCCAATTACATCTGCGTGCCAAGATGAATGGGTGCAGGGCCCTAGATATCAGACTTTAGAGTCTGATTCAGAGTCCGTTCAGACTTTTTTTTTGTACCTAGTCTGAACTCGAAGAATTTTTTTATGCACCCTGTCTGATTTTTCAGAGTTTTTTTAACTGACTTGTCTGAAATTTCAGAGTAGTCATAGTAGTGTAGGCTGAGCCTCGAACTTGTATCGGGGGTCCACTCTGAAACCGGTTATACAGGGGTTTCCGCCGACTGAATGAAAGGTTATCGGAACGAAACTTCCTCGAAACTTTTTTTCGATACACCCACGTGTGTACGGGCCAGCACTAACGATTTCCTCCGGATAAAACTGCTCGAGTAGGGGTACCAGGATACACTACTTTGTCGACGCTATCTCGAGTGTCGAATTCATTGGGGGCTTATAATAACCCTTAAATTGTGAAACTAGATAGCCAATCGCACATGGCCAAAACGATTTTAGCGAATCGCACATGGCGAAAAGCGAATTGGTGCAACTGAAAGCCGTGTCACATATGAGTCTCGTACTTCAGCAGAACCGCACATCATTTCCCCTTCCCAAACCGAGTCAAAATTTCGAATCTGCAACTTTAGGAGAGAATATTCCGCGCACATAGGGTGTACACAGTTGAAAACTCTTGCTGCAGCCAGCGCGCCCAGCACAGAAAAGTTCCGAGCGATACCGTGCCTGCTGCCAGGTCAGCTGATTGGGAGCTTGCCACACCTGGCACTTGCACGAGGCCATTGTCTGATGCCCACACCTCGACCCTGACTGCTCAGTGATCCTAACTCTTGACAAATGACCAATCAGAGTGCCCCATTTCTGGCCGCACAATTGCGTTGGTATGCTGTAAACAGCTTCAATGCGATTATAGCTATGCTGTTATGAAACTGCATGAACATCTTAAAATTTGAAGTAACTCTGACAGTTCAGACAAAAGAAGTTGTGCTTGTCTGAATTTTCAGACTAAAAAAAATAGGTAACTCGGACAGCCAGACTAGGAAGAGGGGTGTACTCTGAGGCGTCAGACTACCTCAAAACACGAATCTAGGGGCCTGAATGGGTGTACTGAATATACTGTAATTAGATTAAACATGCCTTCAACATTGTGTATTATGATCTACCTGTGTATATACTATTTCTACCACCCAATCGTGGCTCCAAACGAGGCCTACTATTGGAAGGTGTTAAAAAAAAAATGTGCTGAAAATGGGCTACGATGGCATTCTCATTGTACCTTATGTTCACGCGCATTGGCATTCTCAGGGTCGTCGCAGGGTAACGATGGCCACGGGCGAATTGACCAAAGCCTTCTTTGGCAACATACCACCTTACCGATTGGCCTTGGAGGGTTAGGCTGGGCATAGTGACTGCATCTTTGCGGTGCCAGCTGCCCAATTGTCTCAACTCGAACTCAAGCGCGGCCTCACACTTGCCCACTCACCTCCTCATGGTGGTGATATAAGCCTTGACCCAGAGTGCTGATGGAGCCCTGTGAGTGGAATCCACTCTGCCTTGACCATGAAGGTCGCCTACCTGAGACTGCGCAACAGTTACCGTCATTGCCCGGATTGTAGACATATATGTCTGTTCCGGGTGCAATTGACCAAGTGAATGAGATTTGCACTATTGAGTAAAACGAGTACAAATCCGAGCGAACATTTCTAGTGGAAACAACAAAAGGTAACGAGGTGCGTGCAAACTACCTAGTGAGATGCTGACAGCGTGGTTCGGGCTAGTCCCGAAGCGTAGGCCAACTCAGCGAAGCCTGGCAACGCAATTTTTGGCAAAAGTGACGCATGAATGTGGCGAGCACCGTTAGCAGTAACGGCAAAGAAACTGTTGGTCTTTTACGCGTTGCTGAGGTGCTCAGTAAGGAATGCCGATAAAATCCTTACACTACCCACTCCCCCTCCCCCAAGAAGCCCTTCCGCTAAGCGAGTGCGTGTATATCACGGAATCCCCGACTTCGCAGGTATACTTGGAGGACAACGTTATTTTCTATGCTGCCCAAGGACACCCAACTGTCTCAAGTGGCGGTGCGATTATCCCAGCGGACGAGGGATTCAATCCTCCGAGATCCATGGGGTTTGCGAAACCGATGAATCTATATTTTGTCAAGGTCGACGATGGGCTCCGATGCGGGACGTGTCATCGAGGGTGGTCGGTGTAGTGGCAGTTGGATCGTGGTTGAGATGTACGGGCGAATCAAGCTGACGTGGAATGACGGGCTGATGTATCAGTAAACAGGTAACAAGAGGTGTGGCAGTGACGATGTAATCATGCGACTGAACGTGCCTCAGTCGCGAGGTCGTAATTTTGGTACAACGGGCATGCGTAGGTTCTAAAAGTCAAGCAAAATTTAGTCTCTTGACTTGTACGTGACGGTGCGACGGTGGCAATTGTAATTTATTTTAGCGATGACATTCGCTCTTTTTATAACCTCTGTTGCACATATCCGGGCAGCCTGCAGAATTTTGGCGAACGGATTTTGCCATACCTCTGCTGCGCTGGTGGTGCCGGGTTTTCCGAACACAACGTTGTGGCCACGGTGGGGTTCTGCCCATAATTCAGGTAAAACGGCGATTGTTGCGCGATTACTGACGTGGCGTTGTTCTATGCGAGCTCGATCAACGGCAATTGTTACTCCCAGTTGCGGGGCATCGCACGTGGCGCAAATCAGCTGCTCCATGGTCTGGTTCGTCCTCTCGGTTTGTTATTGTCGGTCTCAGGGTGATACAACTGTCAAAACATAGAGTTATGTCTATTTTACTCTAGGTTGTGTAGGGGTCATCCCTTAGAGGGTACAACCCAATTCTCTCGATACTCTTGTACTCTCTCTCCCTTACCCAATCATCATCCCTCACCTAGCTAGTGATTCTAACATGGTATTAAGAGCACAATGCTCCTTAGGACCGAATTTCTAAAAGGGCCCACCACTACTATTTCGATCTGCTGCCCGAGTCGCGCCCCTAGGGGAAACGCGAAATGCGAAAACGTGCCCTAGGCGAGACGGTTCCTTTTTCTGCCATAGTCGCGATTTTTTCTTCCTAGTCACGTGTGACCCCCCTGACCGCGCCCTAGCTGCCCCGTACGCCTCTCGCGCGGCCCGTCAGCCCCTACGCCCGGTCCCCCCTCGTTCCTGCTGCTGCGCGCGCCACTCACGCTGCCCGCCAGCCCCTAGCACGCACCTGCTGCGCGCTCCTCGTAGTGCTGCCCCGCACGCACCTGTTGCGCGCCCCTGGTTTGCACGCCCATAGCCCACGCGCGCCTACTGCTACTACGCGCCGCCCAGCCCGAGCTGTCACAGCTGCTACTGACTGAAGCTACTACTGCTACAGCTAGTGCTACTGCGTCTGCTACTGAAGCTCCTGCTGCTACAGCCCGTGCTACTTGCTGTAGCTGCTCCTCCTTGCTGCTGCTTGAGCTGTCACTGCTGCTGCTACTGACGCTACTGCTGCTACAGCTAGTGCTACTCACTGCTGCTGCTACTGAAGCTAGTGCTGCTACAGCTAGTGCTACTGTTGCTGCTGCTACTACGGCACTTGCTACAGCTGCTACTGTCTGAAGCTATTGCTGCTACAGCTAGTGCTACTGCTGCTGCTACTAAAGCTCCTGCTGCTACAGCCCGTGCTACTTGCTGCAGCTGCCCCTCCTTGCTGCTGCTGCTGCTACTTGCTGCAGCTGCTCCTCCTTGCTGCTGCTGCTGCTACTTGCTGCAGCTGCTCCTCCTTGCTGCTGCTGCTACTACTGAGCGCCGGCTGCTGCTGCTCCGCCACTGAGCCCGAGCCGCGCCGCCCTGTCCGAGCCGCGCCGCCCAACCCGAGTTGTCACTACTGCTGCTGCTGCAACTACTGCTGCTACAGCTAGTGCTACTGCTGCTATGGCTAACCTGTCAGTTCTTACGTTCGATGCTGAGGGCCGCGCGATTACCTTTGATGTCTGGCTCGACGATCTCCAGCTGTTCCTGCAGAGCGAGTCTAAGGATGGTGTTTCCCTGTTTTTGCACACTGAGGGAAAGCTCCCACCCCCTGCTGCCGACGCTGTAGAGGATCTGTCTAAGTGGCTCATGCGTGATGCAGTTGCCCGCCTTGCTGTCCGCAACCACCTGCCAGTCACTGAGCGCGCACACTTTAGCCGGCAGAAAACGGCCAAGGATCTCTATTACGCTGTAGTTTCTCGCTACTCCTCCCCAGCTACTGCTGCTGTAGGTCGTCTCATGCTGCTGTACCTGCATCCCGATCTAGCTGAGTTCCGCACTGTCTCTGACCTCTTTACCCACCTCCGCTCTAGTGAGGATCGCTTCCGTGCCGCTCTCAAGCCGGACTTTCTCGCTAAGAAACCCCCCCCGCAGTACTTCACCCTCTACTTTCTTATCACTCGCCTCCCTGACTCCCTTCGCACTGTCAGGGACCAGTTCCTAGCCATGGACCCCACTGAGCTCACACTTGACTCGCTTGAGAAGGCCCTTCTCGAGGTTGAGAAGAGCACTGTCGCTGTCGCTGCCTCTCGTGGCACCCCCCGCTCCCCCTTCTTTGAAGGGTGTACTCCCTCCCCTCTCCTCCCCTCAGTTGCTACCGCTGCTGCAGTCGACCTCCTTGGTGCTGAGGACGTTGGCGCTGCGTCTGCTCCCAGTGGACGGCGCAACAACAGCAAGGGCAGAGGGGGCAGGGGTGGTGGTGGTGGCAGCAGCGGAGGGGGTGGCGGGGGTGGTGGCGGGGGTGGTGGAGGCTCTGGGTGTGGCTCTGGGGGTGGCGGCAGTGGAAGAGGCGGACAGGGTGGAGGAGGCGGCGGTGGTGGGGGAGTCGGTTGGGGTAGCGGGGGCGGTGGAGGAGGTCGGGGTGGGTCTGGCAGGGGTGGTGGCGCTCGTGGACCCTCCCGTGGCTACGGGAGTGGTTAGCAGCTGCCGCGCCTCCCGGACAACCCCACCGACCAGCAGCTCCGTGAGTGGGTTCTCCAGCGTGGGGGCTCTGGTCGCTGCCCTTATGTCCGGCGCACGGGGCTTCTGAAGGGCACAG